CAATGACTTCAGATGAATATCCAACTGTGTGTGTAGATGAATGTTGATTCGAAAAAGTTTCAGTCAAATACTGTATTTCTGAGAGTAAGGCTATTACAGACCTTGCTCCTCAAGTGAAGACTTTTCTTCAGGAGTGGCTCAGTGAGAAGTTGTAATGCTTCCATGCTGTGGACCAGCAATGTCAAATTTGGGAGAAAGTTGCTTGGTATCAGGGAAATAACTTATACAAGTCCTGTGAAACCCCAGTGAAATCCAAGGAAGCTACAAGCCTTGGAAAAATGCAGTCTAAACTCTCATCACAGAATGATGGTAGACTAAGTATTGTCTACGCCCAAAAGCATGAGGGGGCTGAGTGCAGATTATCCCCATGAAATGGACTGGGCACGTTCCCCTGCTGGCTCCTGAGCTCTCTTAACTGCACGTGCAGGTTCAGTGAGACACTTACCAACAGGCAGCAGGGACTCTGTGTCTCTCACCTCCCTAGTTTCAGGCAATTTAACACCAGAGGAGATCAAGAGATCCTCCAGTTTCCCCAATTTCAGAGACAGCTCAGCCTAAAAACTAGTACTTAGCTCAAACACAAACATCTCTTCCTAAAATGACACCCAGTTTTGACTCAAAACACCGTACAAGGAGGCTCTGCCATTTCCTTCACAGTTTCAAATGTACAAGGGTACTTTTTCTTCATCTTTTTTTTTTTTTAATCTGAATCTCTCTGTAGTTTCTGTTTTTCATTATGTCTTATTCTGCTGGATCTAGGAGCCCATTAATACCTGTATTTTTTTTCCTGTGAAGACAGCTGTACATTAAAATTATTTTCCAATCTTCTTTTTGATAAGTTGAACAAATAGAACTGTAATTCTGTCATCTGAGGGCTCAAATTCTCCAGCTCAAATGATTTCCAGCTTTTTCAACAGCCTCTTCAGGTTTTTCAATGTCTTTTCTAAAATTCTTATATCAAAACCACACCTAACATTCTGCCATCAATATGAGATGTTTTCAAAATTAAAGTAATCTTTCTACCCTCCTCTTTATTTTGACCCTACCCATCCCAGATGAAACTAGGTCTAAATGCTCTAACACTGGACCAGAAGCTCCTTTTGAGCTGCCTGTCCATTGCAACACTTAAAGCTATTTCAGGTCACTACACCTAGGACACAATCTCCTCCTCCTGTAGGTATGACTTGTGTTCCCAACATCTAGATGTAAAATTTTGCATTTGCTCACATTTAAAAAAGCCAAAATAAAACACAGCCTCTCCCTCCTCCCCCAAAATCTCAGTTCTGCTGAGAAATAAATGGCACCCAGCATCCTCATTTTCCTTGCCCCCCCTCATACACACACCGCTCTTTGTATTTACAGCAAATCTGTATTAGCATTTATGTTATATTCAAAACTGATGGGGAAAAAACCCTATTGTACTGTGTTTAGCATAAAAATGTCCTCATTAGAAATGTTACACTCAACAAAAATCCTTCAACAGTAATTGTTTTACGTGTTAGTTGACTAACTTATCAATCACAGGATCACAGAATGGTCGGTGTTGGAAGGGACTCCATTTAATAAATACTTTCTTGACACCACATAATAACAATTTCTTAGCAAGAACAGCATCGACAAAACTCATCCTTTTCCACAAAATCAGGGAGACTGGAATTAATTTAGTTTCCACTCTTTAGTTATCCACTGTGTGAATCCAGAACCAGCTTCTCCATTACCCTTTCTGGACTAAAATCTGAATGACAGCCTGCAGTTATACTGGTCATCATGCCTGTGTGAATTTTGCTTGTTTATTTTTTAACATTGGCACATAGTAGCATTCTTCTAGTGCCATGGAATTTCTCTTGCACTCCAATGTTTAAAAAAAATAAAAAACTAGTTAGAGATCTCAGCCTAGTTTTTCAGGACTCCCAGTGATTCAAAATGTGTTAAAAATAGCCTGCAAATACATGATAACTATTAACAGACTGAAAGTTATTTTATTATCCTTCAGTGAAACAAACTATTTAACTCTGTTTCACCTAGAATAAGTATTTTTTGCAAAACCTTCTCCTTCTTCCACATCATTATTAAAAGTTCATCCATCTCCATCTAAGAATAAGCCAATAATTTTCAGATAATATAAACCATATCAAAACTCCCATTTTACTTTAACAACAAGTCTTACAGCTGAGCAGACATGATATTTGCCCATGACCTTTAATTTCCCTTTATCTTTCCCACACTTCATAACAAGCTGCCATTCACTCTATGCTCTCTGACTTGACAGTGACACAGGACATACTTTTACTACTTTCTTTCTCAAAAAGTCCTTCTTGTTCTTTTTTGTTGTTGCTGTTTACATTTCCCTCTCCAGTTAGTTTGAGTCATATTTCCCTTTTGCTTTTGAAAATTACTCTTCCTGAATGCTCAAATACGTAATTTCACTGTTGGGAATTATCTTTTCTTTATGCTGAATGTTAGAAAATTATGGAGAAGATTGTCCCTACGCAACGCAAATTCCTAGGTCAATTCATCACTGTAAGCTCCCATAAAGCTGCTCAAACCAAATGACCTTGTACTGGATGCAGTACATTTTATGCTAGAAAATTATCATTTGCAATTTTCAGGCTAATTACATTTCACCATTTCTTACATTTCATCTGTAGCACAAGCTTCCCACACAACAGTATTTTTTTCCTTTATATGCTTTTTATAGCCAAGTGCTCAAGAAGCAATGCACCTCAATTCTCAATTTGCAACAGACTCCTATGAGCACTACCCTCTTAGGTTTGTTAATTAGTAGACTGATTGATATGTATTCAAGATCCTTGTATTAATTAACTTTAAGGCAGGTACTAGTGTCTTTAACATTGCATACTGACCTCCACCTCTGTGAGCCACTCTGTTCTTAAGTAGGCTGTAAGTACTGATTTCACATTCTTATTTTATGAATTGCCCCATGTGGTTTCAATAAGAAAAATTATACCTCATTTTACCCATTAATGAAAATTTCCCATATAGCATGCTTGTCACCAGGTCTTATCACTGATATAAAACCGACTGCAATTCTTGTTTTCAATTCTGTTATAAGTTTAATTGGCTCCTAAGACACTAACTTTAAATTGTATTTACTTGGTCCCCATGTTCTGCAAAAATAAACCTGCAGATTCATTCTAGCCAAATCCAACAAATTCCCCTCCAGGAATTTATTCTGTGGATCTTCCTTATCATTAAATCTTCCTCAGCCTCCTAGTTTACTTTTTCTTAATAGCTGTATTCATGATGCCTGTCAACTTATCTATCATTTGGTACCACAAGCAGTACCAAATAGCTTGTAGCTATGTCTCTGACAGCCTTCTGCTTTACATGTCCACAAACAGTTCCCACTATTAGCCAGCATACTTCAATATATATTAGTAACTTTATACTTCCTGTCATATTGAATGTCTCCTGACTTTGGGTTGGTTTTTGTGGCTACGAACCATCAGTGCACTCTTCTGGATCCTACCTATTTTTCCTTTTCTTCTGTGGCACCAGTGGGATTGACTTCTTATTCTGACTGTTAAAAAAAGATACTGCACGTATAAATGTTTCCATCAATGAGTTACAAGATTTATTGAAAACAAGGAAGATGGTTTCATGGTTTGACAACTGAATTTTTCTTTTGCCTTTAGCAGATTTCAAAGGCAACATGGCAAGCAAGGTCTTAAATGCAGCCTGTACCAATGGGAATTTTTTTACTATTGCTATGAAGCCCTATAAAAGTTCACATTCATGAAAAATAATTGTATTAGAGGCAACTCAAGCTCTTCATCCAAATTTAATGGACAATCCTGAAGTTCATGACTAGACTTCTCTACCTCTGAAGTGAGCACAATGATACCACCTTACCAATACACTAATGTAATATTTATGAAGTTACATCAGTAATCCCAAGAGAAAAATCATGGCAAAAGAAATAACCATCTATAATAACTAAAGGTAGAAACAAATGGAGGCACATACAAAGAAAATAGGCAATGACTGAGAAAGCTGCTAAAGGAAAACAATTACTGCCTGCTGTGTTGGTTTAGAGTTAAGCATGTGATTATTCCATTAGAGAATATCATAACACATCTGCAGAAGGTATCTGAATTGAGACAGCATGACTTCCCAAGTCCTGGGTGATCAACCTAAGAACAATATTGTTAAATGATGTCTGAAACTAAAAACCAACAAAGCATAAAACCTACAGTCTGAAACATAATCAGTGAAATGTTTGTCCAAATAGTTATCAACTTGGTAGCTACAAGGAAGTGAAAATACAATGTTATAACCAAACATCCGGTCAATATCCCAAATCACACCTGCTATCAGCCCAGTTTAGAATTGTGACCATTCAACAGTAACTTCAGGTGTCAGCAGTGAGGTCACTGAAGTACAATGTAACTTCTGGCAGACTGTCTTTAAACCCTCTGGAGGTCATATACAAAGATTCCTTTTCAGGAATCACACCCCACATGTTTAACAGAGAATTTAGCAGCATTTATCAAAATGTGGCAAATTTTGAGAGCTTGGGACTAAACAGCTCTTGTACAGCTAGTCACAACTAAGGCACACAACAAGAGTGGTGCCAGGTTTACTATTCCTTTGCTTGAGTATCTAGCAATTTAAACCACAGATTTTAAAAACTGTATTTGTACGCTATTTAAATATTGATACGTTGTGACTAGTGACATTCCAGCAATGATGTTTGCCCAGGCACATACTGTATTAGAAATTTTGAAGACAATCTGTGATATACTTAAGAGTGAATTTACTACATCATTAAAAGAAAATTATTATTGTGCTTTTGGGGAATTATTTTTCTTTTTTTTTTTTTTCCTGTTAAATTTTAAATCTTTCTGCCAAGTTACAAAAAGCCCTTTCAGTTTGGTACGACTTGGGAAAATAGAGAGTTTTTGTGTTTGGGGTTTGTTTCTTTTTTAAACTGTGAGAAGTCTGAGCGTTAACTGATCTAGATTTGACTGGGTACTCACTCTGTCGCACAGCTCTTCAAACGTGAAGTCTGCAATGGTTCCACACGCTTTATTCAGCCTCAGCTCTCTGCCTTGCACTTTTAGAATCCTTGGTCTAGTTACTATGGGAACATGAACAAAGACTCAATCTTCTCTGGATAATTACTATAAAATTCATCTCTTACAGATAGGAAATGCATAGCTTGATGAATAATAGCACATGATTCAACACATAAATTAGACAAAATGCTGATACAATGACTGCCACTTGAGTGTGGCATCAACCCATATACAGCAATGGAACTTATTAATTGGTCAGTGGAGATTGGGCATTGTGTTCTAAATGTATTCTCTTTCAAGAGAAATTAACTTACGTACAATCATTTTGTTTCTGAGCCAGCTCATCAAACAACTTATCCATGACAGCCTCCACATCAGCTTCACTTGTGCTACAGTGAAAAGAATAATAGAATATGAAATTAATAACACTTGAAGCCAACATCAAACAGCTGCCTGAGCCTGCTTAGCTTTTTGCCCATAAAAAAGAGAACAGGATGTTATGCTCTAAATACAAACATTAGATTTAGAATACACTTAAAAGTAGAGAATATTAACTCTCAGGTAGATGATTCTGCCTTATTTGCATACACTGAAAGACTTCTGTGTTTTGAGCTGTTTCCAGTAATGAGGCAATACAGGCAGAGCAGATCCATTAACACTATGTGTACACAATGAGAAAAAAGGCTTCTGGCTCTATCTTGCATGCAAAATAAGAGCAAATAGACAAGGCAAGGCAGTCAAGCACCTAAAGAAGCATCCTTTGAAATTTCTGAGAGGGAACTTTGTGAAATTCAATATTGGAGCAGCTTTTTTGGGGGGGGTCGGGCAGGTGAAGGAGAAATAAAGTCAACTGATTGTATTGATCAGACAACATGCAAAATTAAACTATGAAATTGAAAATACCAGCATGATCTCCACATTAGTAATTTTATCAGTTTCCCCACTCTGTCCCAAATACTATTTGGGAAAAGATCAACCACATGCAGTGAAAATGCAAAATATCTGCGGTGAGAGTTGAAGTAAAAGTTTATATACATCTTCTGGTTGCCACAAGAATTACAAATCAGTCTGATCAGAGAATATTTTTTGTCACTGAATGGGTTAGAGGGCCTGTCCTTCTATGTTTCATTCTTAAAGAAGATAGCTAATGTTTCTAGCTGTCTGGTTTTTCTCAGCTAGTTTGAAAGCTGAGAATAGTAAATTAATGCTACAGTAGACAATAAACTAGAACTAGAATACAGAATGCTTCATTGAAGTTTGTATAATATCTTTTGGTGTGAAAAGTCTAATTCTATAGATCGTGGATGCACTCAAGTTACATTGCTTCACACAGTTCTAGACCTCCTCTAAATGACAAGTGATGATCAGCATGTTACACAATTATTTTGCCATTAATTCGGCCTTAAGCACCTTAAAAATGTTAACAGTTAAACTGAAATAACTACTTTTTAGCTCAAGCTTAATGATAGCAAATCTTGTAGATACAAAGAATTTGGAAAAAAATCCCACAAACTCCTGCAAGTGCCATTTCAAACACTTTAAAAAACCTTTTCTGAATAGATTATACAAAATTGTAACTTCAAAGAATGAAGTTTCTCTCAACATTGATATTTGTGTGCTGCTTTCCCCTGACAAAATGACAAATTAAAAGGAACAGACAAAACCAGAAAAAAAGTCATTAAAAGGGGTGAAGAATGCATCTCTATCAGAGAGTACGCACACGTGGATGCAACTATCAAAAAGTCTGATGTAAAGGCTACAAGAAGAAACAGCCAAATATGATGTCAAGGTGGATATTTGCAACTAAGTGCCAATAAAGTCTGTTTTGAAAACAGACACCTGAGGCTGAAATGAAGGAAGTTGCTTTGATCAGGAATCCTGCAATTGTGTTACACTGATTGCTTTCAGATGATGATGAAACAGCTTTAAGCAACCCTTAGTTGCATATTTTAAATGAAGAAAAGACTACACAAATTATAAAGCATCAAGAGGATTTAAAACAAAAGTCATTATGATACTATAACCATTAACAGGGGAATATAAACATGTTGGACAATAACATTTTCTTTTGAGGGCAAGACTGATAAATTCAAAAAATCTGTAGCAAAATACTGTATAGTATCTAATTTTAAAACAAAACAACAAAAAATATCCCCACATAACTGTGCTAGTTCTGCAGGGTTGAAAGCTGCAATGAACAAGTTTGAGATTCCCTCAGAAAAAGAAAGGACAATTAAATAAGTATCTTATTTCCATCGACAGCTACAGGATTTTTTTTTTTTTCCTTATTGATTCCTAAATGATTAACATGACAAGTTCTAGAGGTAACCAACATCCTTCCCCTGAGAGAGTATGAAAGGGACTTATCACCAATCTCTGCCATTCACTTGATCACAAGCTCTGGAGCAGAATACCATGAAATATTTTGGCTGGGTACTATTACCGGGGCTTGTTTTTATTTCTTCTCCTCCGAGAGCTGATGCCACAGGCACCATGTTTAGCCTACTAGCTGCTAGAAAGCACATATGTACTCTTCCTTTCTCCAGAGTATGGACAAAGATAAAAAAACATGGTAGGTGCTCTCCACAATTATAAAACAAAAAGTCACCAGAGTGCAACGGGCACAATAAGCAGAGCTGTAAGCAGGGACAGCTACGTGGACATCAGAACAAGAGCCACGATGAGCAATGCTGAGATAACAGTGGCAGCTTCAAACAGTACTTCCGAGCAGATGCCACAGAACTTAAAGAAAGTGAAGTCTTTAAGAAAAAGCGCTACTTTTCTTGAGTTCATACAATGACACGTTGTTTGAAGATGCAGAACCTGCATTTGACCTGTTTTCCACATATGAAATTCAGTCATTTCCTTCCAGAAGCAGAAAGAGTGACCTGTTGTAATTCTGCTAAGCAGTACTCCTCCTTCCAGACAAACAACTACAACTTCTAACTTTGTTACGAAGTGATACAGTGCCCTGGTTTTGTTTGAAATATCTGTCACATCAATGGAAATACTGCACCTTTCTTAATGGAAACATGATTGTTAAATCAATATTGTATGTTGGGTTGAAAGATACAGTGGCTATAAATCTCATTTTAAGTTATTGCTGTCTGCCTTGCTCAGGATGTCATTGATTAAACTATACTGTAAGAGCAAATAAGAGATAGAAAAATGTCTGCAATGAAAAGGTTTCAAAGCACGTAAAAAAGGAGAGGACGTTTCTATTAGGCAGATATATGCTGCAACCAGAAGCACAACTGTGAATGTATTCTTAAATATATTTATTTGCAAATACAGAATAAAGTGCTAAAGAAATTTTGTCATGATAAACAGAAACAATCTGTCAAAATATGAGGGTGGGGGTTTTTTTTAATCCAAAGCACTGGAAAGATCCAACATTAAATGAATCCTTGTCATTGGATTTCTATAAATACTTAATTACTTAAATACAATAAGGATGTTCTTCTATTATAAGAGAATTGTGCAATCTCTTACAAGAGGATATTCATTACTTTCTAACCATCTGTCACTTCAGTTCTCCAAATACCACACCTCCCCAAAAAATCTAATTAGTTTTTATTCACTCACACATTATAAATGATGCTAGTGCAGATACTGAAAATGTAGTTTAATGAAGTTAATATCAAGCCATAATGGAAGGCGGTTTGCTGAACAAAATGGACCAGAAGGCAAAGAAAGGAAAAGTCACACTCTGCTAATTCTACTATACATCATTCATTTCCCATTGATTAGGAAATTATTGGCTAATAAGAAGTAAAAAGAGGGAAAATATCATATCATAGATAAACTTACAGGTAGTAAAGTTTTCCAGCAGCAGGAAGCACTCGTTTCCTGTAGTCTATTCCAGAATCAAGCTGGACTGTGCTGCAGTATTTCTACAGAGACAAAAAAAACCAACCAACCAAACAAAAAAATAATAGCTTTCCTCAAGCCAAAGCTGTATTTACTATTGTCTACATTAGAGAGAAGACACACTGCTCTGATAAACAATCAGCATGAATCAAACCTGCAAAACTAAATTCAAGATGGCAAAACTGAAGTCTCCTTTACAATTATCAAAGCAAAGAAATAAGCTGGAAATCATTCACATATTCCAAACAAAAAAGTAACTATTTTCAGAAGACCATCAACTAGAAACTTAACATAGATTGGAAGCACAGGGAATGAAATGAGGGTGGATACTACTTGCTTTCTCCGGGTGGTGCTTTGTTGAGTGTGTAAAAATAATTATTTTCACATTAAAGAATATACATTTAGAAATAGAAAATTAGGAGCAATAAAAGTTTGAGAGACCACAATCAAATTCTAGCAGAGACACCTGAGACTACTTCTACTTTATAAGCTAAAAATAATTTTATTTTTTCTGTCTACTAAGAAGACTAAAAATTTTCTGAGTCAAACATCAAATATATGAACACCAGCAAGTGCTGCTGCAAAACGAACCAAAGTATAAAGGGGAATAAACAAAGCTCTATATAAAAAAGATTTTGTTTCATTTTTGTAATGTCTGAAATGACTCAGAAAAAGATCTTCCCCCACCTTTAAACAACATGTAAGATTCCAAGTGTAATACAGAGGTCCCCGAGTAGTCACAATAATTGCTTCTGTTAGAAAACTCAAAATCAGCTGTACTGCAGGGTGCTTTTTTTGATACAAGGCCTGAGGCTGAGAGCAAAATTCTCACTAACCTCAGTGGGATCAAGATTTTACACCCTCTGGCAAAGGGAATAGCTCTGCTTATCTCCTATTACTACTGCCAACATACACAATTTCTGGGTGTTATATAGCTAGAAGCAAAAGAAGCCATAAAAGAAAGAGGAAAAGAGATGAAAAGTTTTAATATTTTAGAAAATATACCTCTATCAACAATTTAATTAAAGCAATAAAACTTTTTTTTGTAGGTAATTCAACACCATTAAAATTCTTTGGTTTGCTAGAATCCACTAAATTACTCTGCTTTTTCACTGCACTGTGAACTATTAGTTTATCTTTAATACTCTCGTTAAGCATTTCATACTCTGTGTGTCAAATTTTTCAAAGTCTCCTTGAGGCCATTCAAATATCAAAATTGGAAATGTCAAATCTCATTTATAGCAACTACACTGAAGGGAAAAAAACCCTTAAATTTTAGAAGAACTACCATCAGTGATTTAAGGAACAATGGCCCTTCTGAAGAAATGTGTTGCATAGGACTTAGAGATTACAAATATCTGCAGGAGTGACTGTGATGACTCACTGAATTAATTTTTTGCCCTTGGCTATTACTGAAGCCTCTATACTTATTTTAAAATCTCCAACTTCTCTACAAAGATACACAGCTGAAGAAAGAAGGTGAAAAAAAAATCATCCTGAAAGCACAGAATGCCAGGAAAATCCATGTGTCTTTAATTCCGGTAAGTGAAAAAGCCATGCTAATCAAATCATTATCTTGGGCTAAGGCTACTGCAAACACAATAGCATTGGTACTACAATATTATTATAATCTATTCCCTTTCTTTTCATGAAAGCTTACAAAGAAAGAGAATAACAGAGCAGAAGAAAAAGAAGTTCCAGAGGCATGTAATAATATGCACAAGGGAGGGAGGATGTTTAAGCTTTTCTTCAGCATCAGTCTGGCAGTCAAGGCTAGAAGGAAGACTCCTGAAATTTCACAGCAAAGCTGGTGCACTCAGCTTTTCTTTGCAAGGCACTGATGTTCAGCATCTTCCTGCCTAATGTTTTATTTTTCCAAAAGAGTAGATTAGCTCGAGTATTATTCCCTTCATGTTGGGGGGGGGGGGGGGGGAACCCCAAACATTTCATTACTACAGCTATGTGGACTGAGATTATTTAGATTAACTTTAGAGACTCGGATATTTAGTAACGCTGTTTATCATTTTGGGATTTTTTCCTGGAAACAACAGATAGGAAATTTTGCATTAATTCAGACTCAATTCTTTGACCTTCAAGATGAGTTTACAAACTCTACCGCTCTCTCAGGGTGTTGTGTTGCATATAGAGTGAAAAATGAACATAGAACTACACGTACTTAAAGAGTGTGGTATGGCTGGAATCAAAAAAAAAGGGCACCTGAACACTGAAGCTGGTGTAAATGTATCGTGCTGATATTTACAGTGGCGCTTGTGGCTCAGCTGCTCGCGACTGCTGAGCAAAGCAGACACACTGGGCACTCAAACACAGACCGATACTGGACTAGATTGAGCAGGTCACTGTAGCTGGCTGAAATATAGATCAGCACTTGGTGCAACAGTATTTTAGTCCACTTGTGTTCTGTTTACAAACTTAATACTTCTTAAATGCACTGACAGTCTTTTATGACTCCACGATCTAACTCTATAGTGAGTGATTTCTGGAGGCAAGAATTGTAGATGTAAGTGTTACCGATATAGCTATGAAGTAGAGGCATTTCTTCTACCTTCCTCCCTTTCCTCTTTCTTCAAAGGAGTTAGTATTATCACTATTCAGGAAAAATCACTGTTATTAATGACACCAGTTAAGAAGAGCTTGTGTGCTCAAAAAGCTTATTTATGGTTTTGGGCCCCTTTTAAGCTACAAACAGTTGCCTACATGACATATATTTCTTTTCCCTATAAATCTTGTCTTGTAGGTCTACAATAATGTACTACTACTGATTCTAACACGATGTAGCATTACACAGTTTATTTCAAAAATACTTGTTAAATATTCTGGGCTACAGGACCTTCCAAACAGAAAGGCAATAGCAGCTTCCCACTCAGAGATATATAAAATACAGTTATTATAGTCCTACTGATTTTTGCTTCCTTAGGAGGTGAAAATCAACTGCACCAAACATAAACAAAATGGAAAGAGATAATTCTGATATACAGCAGTTCTCCGTAACACACAATACAAGCATAGAAGTAGGGGTCAGTTGACAGGAAACACAGAGGTACTTAGTCCTTTGGAAAACATTTGGCATTTTACTACCCTGCTCCTTGGATGTTCATGTTCTTAATTAATTTCTGGTTTTGGTTTGGGGTTTTTTTTTTTTTGGTCTTAATTCTATCCTATCTTTCAAACACAGTTCTGTCTCCTATTTTTCAAACCAGCATTCTCAGTCAAATTCTGGTTTATATTTTACTTTTAATCTCTAGCATATTTTTCACCCATCACTGTCTCAAGAACCACTGACTTGGACCTCAGGGCCTGTTTATTTATTTATTTATTTATTCCTTGTCCTCTCCAGACTGATGCTCTCTTCATTAGGGTACTCCAGCCATTTAGAGCCATGTTCTAAATAAAAATAAAACAAACACAAGAATTTCCTTAACCATTCTATATGTTCATGTGAATAAATACTTACCACTGTTTGTCATTAATTATTTTTACTGAGGCATTTCAAGGCTGACTCACACCTATTCTGTTAGGCACTGTCTAAATATACATAAAATGGATGGCCCCTGCCATCAACAAGCAAAACATTATCATCTGTGTAGCAACATGCTCCCAGAAAATAGTCCATGGAAATATGATTGCTGCTTAAAAGCTTTGTAGGGTAGGAACAAACTTCCCTTTATGCGAATATATGACAGTAGAGTACAGATCTGTAGGTGCTACTGGAAAATAATGCAACAAAAATCAAACAGATGTATGAATAGAGAAATCAATCATTACATGTTAATGTGGAAGAAGCTAATGCAAACAAAACAGCATGCAAACATGCACTGGTGTGGGCAATGCTATTTACACAAAACGAGTTCCATGCAGCAGAGAAGAGGAAGAGTGTGACAGCAGTACCAAGGAACTGCAGTAGTGGGAGGACTGCTTGCACCGCCAGGCAGTAACAGCAGCATTTCTCCTCCAAGTCAAGAATGTACTGGTGGAGACAGTTCTAAACAGGGATTCAGCTCGTGGTCACTTCTACTCAAAGCCAGAGTCAGAAAGGTCACAGAGAAGCTATGCACTCAGCAAAGATACAAAAGTTTTTTCCTTTTGGGGTTTCCTTTGTAGACAAGGGTACCCACTGCAGTTCTGTGTTTATACACATATAAACATTCACTTATCTGCTTCACAGGAATGCAGAGGGCAAAATCTGTAAATATTTTTTTCAAGATAAATGCTTTAAATGTTAAAAAGACAGCACATAATCAGAATGTATAATAGAAGAAAATAAAAGCACACCAAAATGTCCAAGCTAAATACTTAAACACTAGACTTACAAAAATGACAATCAGATACATGGTTGCACAGTATGGAAAAATAAATACTGCTCACAATTGTAAGAATGAAATATTGAGTCTCAGAGAGGGTGCAAATGTGAGTAGCACCATCACTTCTGTACCTTTCACAGGTGTCAATAACATTACACTCCTGCATCACAGAACTAGAAAACCAATACTATCATCACAAACTGCTAATTCAGGGTGGTGGGGGGAAGGTAGGGCTCTCTACTTTTTACCCTTCATCTTTTTGCAGCATAGGGAAAAACCCTACTAAGATTACATATAGATGTTCTCTCTCCATCTTTGGACTAACTTCTCCAGCACTGGACTGATTAAACCCTACAGATGTGATTGCATCCTCACAGTCACTAATCACCATCACGGAATCCTAATCAACAGCCAAAGAACTAACCGGAGTGCTCAGAGTGTTAGTACTTAATTGACAAAGCCATGACTGTAACTACCGGTTTCAATTTTTTTAAGATGGAGACTTAAACTTTCAAATTTCATTTACTTGGGCTAAACATCTACTTTTCTTTTGAAATAAATACTTAAAATTGAAGCTACAGTTAGTCGAGTCTGTTCTTGTGGAACCATCTACAGTTTCCAACAGATTTGCTATTCTATTGAGATATTTCAAGTCTGACTTACCCTATTCAATTCAAATGCATAAAATTAATTAGTCATACAAT